GTATAGTATTTTCTATTTAAAAGTTTTTGAATGATTGCCCAGTATTTGTTGTTTCCATTATTTTCTGCCTCAAGGTTGTCACATATTTTGGAATGGTAATTTTCTTTTGCTTCAGTGATTTTATCTTTAACTTGCTGAGCTAAAAGTTTATAGTTATCATGGTCAATCTGCTTATTTGAATTTTTGAACCGTTCATAAAATTGTGATTTTTTCCTAATCAGGTGTTTAATATCGTTATTTATCCAAGGTTGATCTTTTGAATTAAAGGTAGTTATTTTATTTGGAATGTTTTGTTCAAAGATGTTAAATACATCTCTAGTAAATGTTTCTGTTAATTGGTCAATATCATTGCATTCATTATGTCTTTGTTCAATGTTTATGTCAAATATTTGGCTGTTTATTCGCTCTATGTTAGACTGGTCATACTTCCAAATACGTTTTTGATGTTTAGAAGTTCCTAAAATTTTCATTGGAAATGTAAGTTCCAATGTTGAATGGTCAGTACAGCCTATTGGATGAGTCACTTTAGATTCCCTTATCAGATCAGGTGAATTAGTTATTGCTAGGTCAATACATGATCGTGATTGATTAGTTATTCTTGTGGCTTCATGGATAAGTTGAACAAGGTTACATTCCATCAAAATTTCATCAAGTCTTTCCCCATTTGAATCAGTTTGCCCCTTAGACCACCATTTTTTGTTCTTAGAGTTAAAATCCCCATTTATCAGTAGGTAATCACACTGGCATTTAGAGGCCTGCTTAAAAGTGTTTTCAGCGGTATCAAAAAATATCTTTTCTTGATTTTTATCTAAATTTGGAGATTTGTAGTAAATCCCATATAAAATTTTAGTATTTTTATATTTAATCTCTACCCAAATGCAGTCTGTGGTATCTAGGTCGATTCAACGATGTATTAAAGTTAAAATGTATACAGAGATAAAATAGGTTATCTCCTATCGTTTCCTTGTGTATACGTTTATGTCTCTGCGTAATAACGCAGATGCGAGCAGGTAGTTACCCATCTCACCACAAGGTGGCTCGTTCGGGTCAGATAGCATGGCGGGTATGGTAGAAAGTTCCCTTTAACTTAAAGTACATCTGTTTTCGTGGTTCAATTTTCATATCACCCTTAAAATGTATCTAATAGCAATGCAATTAAAATATGTCCAGTGAACGAAAATGCAATACAAGAATAGATATTTCACTTTTTGTGATTTTGTAACAATGGGGTTATTTTTTGTATATGTAACATGGTCATTTTCACATTTTATATTATTACTGTTCATATTAATCAATCCCTATTCATCTCAATATAACAGGTCCCTAAGTAGGTTGTTTGCAGTTTTACTCTTTTAATACCATGTTCACTTTTCACCTTGAGTTATTCAACTATGTAAACTGTGTCAGTTTTATATATCTATTGTTCCCCTATATGGTCTTTCTCACTCACATGTAGCTGAGTTTGCATTGGGTGTTGGCTTGTCAGTAGTTGCTGTAAGAGTTCATTTTGTACATTACAGAGCATTGTATTTTAAACATTGAAGTTTGAAATATACTATTTTATATATATTTTAATTTGAAGTTCGAGTTATTTTATTGCCACCCACGGGCCTTCCACACGCCCATTTACATATAACGCTTTGAAACAACTTTAAAAAGTGAGCAATGTCAGTGTTGTGATAATAGAGAATTTTCGTTATAAGTTGTTTCAAAAACTTATACGTATACTTATAGTTTAAAGGGTCTTGTCGAACTAAGATCAATTCAAATTGATTTTCATAATCTGTACCAAGTGGGGCATAACTATTCCCGATATAGTCAAGCTTCATCATCAACTAGGGACTGCGAATACAATGTCCTTTGCTAGTGTCAATTATGAACACGATAAACTAAATTCTAGTTGACGGGTCCTTGTAGTGTACGATAAACAAGACCCTTTAAAGTGAATCACTACACGAACGAGTCGATCATTTCAAAGTTCTCATGAAATTATAAGGTCAATTTTTAAGTTTTTACGTATAAAAGGGCCTTTATACGCAGATTATAAACTTACAGAGTTGGATCTCCGCATAGTATATGTGTGGACCTACTGACCAGAATGGCTTATTAAAATTAATCGGCTGAATAGGCATAGTATCCAATCAAATAGCTCGACTCATTCATTAGCTGAACTAATTCTCCCTTCGTTATTTCTACAAGGTGATTCAAAACGATCATCTACAAAAAATATATTTGAGAGTAGATAAATCTGTAAAACCCGTGTGCTATATCAGCCTATTTGATTCTAGAAAACACATATGACACAACTAAACATGCTTTACATCAAGGGGGTACGGATGGTATGCCATTGGCCCTTTTTATTACCGTCCTAGGAGATATTTCCCGACGAATTAGGAAATTATGAAACACCTTGTTTATTGGGTTTATAAGTATAAGTATACGTATAAGTTTTTAAAAAACTTATAACGAAAATTCTCTAATAACGCCCCTCATACCTATTTATTACAGGTCGTGTAGACCATTGTTGCCTGATTTATAGCAAAAACATTGACTTTTGCACGTTGATGATGATGATGATGATGCGCCTTTTATAATAGATCCCATATCTTAGAAGCGTATCAGTTCAAAAAATACTAGAAGACCTTACATATTTTGCCATGCACTGCGCCTATTCATTTGGCAATTCAGTTGTAAATTTTATTTTGAAAAAAAAAAATCTTCCAAATTTGTTGAGTTTTCTTGCAGAAATCGCCTACATCCCCTCCATCCATTTTGTATGATCACAAGGCGTGATTTAAGCTGCTGATATTCTTCTTTAAACGAGTCGGATTTTCAAAATCTATAAGTTGGACTCCCTTTATAGAAGCTTTGAACTGAATTTGCACTGCTTAATGCTGAAATTTTATTGTTTATCCATACATTTTAAGAAAAAATGTATAAAAAAGATGTTAAAGCCAAATGTTGCCCTAAAAATTCAGAAAATGTAAAAAATTTCGAATTTTCTATGTACAGGCCTTGTTGCCCCTTTAAGAAGCTTAATATGTTAATTATCTAATCAAACACTTCGTCCACCATTTTGAAACACTAATCAATCCAATCTGTGCTAGCGATTCATAGGGCGAGCCAGTGGGATATTTCCAGGGTTCGTACACACCTGGAAATGTCAGGGAAATTGACTTGATTTTCCAAGTGCTGGAAATGTCAGGTAATTTTAAAATTAGGTCAAAAGGGCCAAAGATGACCGGGAATTTTGAAACGGTAGACATGTCAGGGAAATGTCAGGGAAATTTGTATCAGTGTTGAAAAAATAATGTTCCAGAGATTAATGTTTCCAAACTGTTTTGAAACAAACTAACGTCTTGTTTTCAACCTACACCTTGCTCCTTCCTGTCGTATTTAATAAAACAAAAATAGTATATCACGGAGGGATACGAACCACTCACCTGGGACTTGGTTATTCACTAGCGCCATAGGCGTTCTACTATTCTGGATACAACTGACGAGTCGTATTTAAGTGGAGACAAAAGTGAGGATCATTTTGAATTGACGCTCGGTATGAATATATAATACTTTTGTTCTTTCATATCGGTAGCTCGTTGGCCTAATGGTTAGCGTGCCTGGCTTCCATAGTCTAGGTTAGTTGATCGAGACCCGTTCATGTCGAACTTTTTGATTTGCTTGTTGTCAAGATATAATAAGTAGGGCAAAATCCAGAAAAAGTAGATCAAAAATACTCCAATGGAGTATAAAATTGTCACCAGGATTCCGGAATGAGACGAATGTTAACTTGTGAAATCTCGGTAGATAAGGTAGGTCAGAAAATCCGGATTAATCCGAACAAGGTTCGGGAATTTCCGTCATAAGAAGTAGGTCAAAAATACTCCAATGGAGTATAAAATTGTCACCAGGATTCCGAAATACGACGAATCGAATCGGCAAACTTCGGTACAATAATGAAGTGCATAAAAATCGTGAAACAGGTGTCAAGGGCTTCCCTTCATCTTTCCATAAATTGTTCTGAAAGCCTTATATGGATCTATCACGTGACATTCAAAATGACGTTCCTATATGGTTCTATGGGCCTTATATGGATCTTTCGAACACGTGACCAAATCAAAATCAAAATCAAAATTTTACCTTGACCATTGGATGGGATTTCATAGAAAATATCAAAGAAAACATATTCTCGTGATCCTTAAATCACTTAAATTCGATCATTTTATCTTCACCCCTTGATGGAATTTTATGAAAGAAGTTATGAAAACACATCATCATGTAAGGGTTTTCACCTAAATTAGCTCGTTTTATCTTGACCCTTCAATTGAATTTCATTGAAAAATGTTTCATGAAAAATATCATGTTATGATTTGTATTTAAATAAGACCGTTTCATTTAAATACTTGCTGGATAATATTTCATAAAAAATGCACTTTAAAATATTTCAGGATTTGCCTTAATTTATCAATGTAATGTAAGTATTAGATTGACTCTCAAACAGGGTTCTATTTTAACTTTTTTATTGAAATTAATACTAGGCAGGACTCACTCTCTAAATAGCTAATAAAAATTCAACCCTTGGATGTGATTTCGTTGAAAAAAAAATATGACAAGTCCAGAGTCAAATGATTTGTCCAGAACCTCTTAAGATCCTGTTAATTGTGCATAGAGAGAGATGTGCCCACTTGGAGCATGTTTTGCAAAGCACACTAGTTTTTGACTCAATAGGCTGATTACCATCAAACATAACGAAATTCCCATTGAATTCGAACTTAATAATTTTGAGGCAACATATGCAAGATTGACCGAGTTATTCAACTTTTTTTGCGGTCCTGTTTTTGGACACCCTGTAGTTAACGTGTTGCATATCATATTGATTTTGACTAGGATGTGAAGAAAAGAAGAGGACACTTGATCTCAGATTGAGTCTCTTAAGCAAAACGGCCACAAATACATTTTGATTATAAACTTATAAACCATGCTTGGTGTACATAGCGACCTACCTTTCGGGATCGGTTACGACTGTAATTTTTCGAGTTGATCTCCAAAGTTCTTTGAAGTGTGCACCATCATCAGCAGGGTGCTTTATCAACCCGAGTTTTTCCACTATAGCTTTGCAATCCATTGTGTTTCCCTTTACTGTAAGTTAACGTGCCCTCTTGGTACTCTAGGTACTCTAGTTAAATAAGTGAGTACACATACACAATGATAAGCATATTCCGCTCAATAAACACCTTTCATACAGTAAATAGCTCACTGCTGGTGGTTTAAATCAACAGTAAAGTTCATACGCTTCGAGTAAAAACAGATGTATCACTACATAGTCGCATACATTGATGGATCAAGATGAGTACATACAAAACAGTTGTCACTTCATTAGTTTGAGATATGATAAGGCTTTGTTCCGCAATTTTCAATATTAGCATTGTGTTCATAGCATGAGTCCATGGTTATATGTATACGAATATGTTATCATTATTTACACTTATCAAATACATCAAAATATTTAGATAATTTTATTTATGATATCAGCATTTGTCCTATAAGAATATATAAGAAGTCATTCTGTTCTTCTTATAGTACAATATCCTCGTTACAAAAAGAGATGAAGATCCTGGACTACCCCCCCCCCCCCCCCGACCATTTTGCTTCTTAGCTGAGTGGGTAATTAATTTTTCACACATAGTTAGGCAAGGTGTGTCTGATTCCAGCCAATCCGAACATAGTATTCATATAATGAACAGTGTGTGAAATATCAAAAACACATGCAAGGTCACTAGTTAAACAGTTGTCATGGTGATGAATGGATTTTTCACATTGGATTTGATGACTTGCCAATTGAACCCTTGCAAAAAAAGTCATTGTAAATGTGTTCTTTTAGTGATTTCGTTCCCTTTTCCTTGCTTTATAGAAAAAAAACTTGCAATGTGTGAAAAGAATTTAAGCCTAAGACTCATCTTAAAGTGATATCAGAGCCCCCTTCTTGAATTTTTTCATCAATGAATATAAGAAGATCTTAGTATTATTACAAAATATCTTCAAAATCCATGTTATTAACATTGAGCATAACTAGAAAATATTGATTTTGCAAGGAAATACAAATAAAAACACAAAAAACAATTCCATTATATCTACTGATTGTATAAACTTATTTCATGGTGGCAAGTGAAGAACTGTCCTCAAAATATATTTTTTACTTTGCCCCCCTGCTACCCCTTGGAGTTAGGGTAAAACGGGGGAAAACATAATTTCATGGGACGAAAAGTGACATATGAACTTGCTCGGGTGAATTTTTCATTTGAAACAACCAATATTCATAAAATCACAATGAGTTAATTTCTGAAGAGATTCGAACAAAAATAACAAAGTGCTTGTATAATATGGTGCACATATAATAGACACAAGTGGACTTATTTCCTTCGACACTCGATTATAAAACATTTTAATAATTAATTTCGCTGGGTCTATATCTACATCCACTATCAAATTATACTAAACAAAATACAATTAATACGACGAGGTGTAACACAGGCGGATCCAGGGGGGGGGGGCATGGGTCCTGGGCGGAATTTTTTCAAGACTTGAAATCCCCCCCCCCTTGCTAGCTTCTGGGTCCGCTAGTGAGTAAATACCTCACATTCGTGAATTCTTTTATCTCATGACGTACACGAATCTGAAGAGGTCATGTTAACAAGGGAATAGCTTCATCTAAGAACAGATTGACAGGTTAACTGCACCGCCATCTTTCAATATCAATCGTATTACGAATGAATGCGACTTTCCTTTTTTAGGTTAGAGGTCCATGAGCACAGTTATGGAGAGGCACTGGCGGATCCAGGAGCTAACAAGGGGAAAAATTGTGAAAATTGAAGGCCCATTTTTGTTAATTTGCCTTAAAAGACCCATGTCTTTTGAGGCCCTACATAATTTTTGGGCCCAAAATCTTTTGAAGCTATGCCCCCCCCCCTGGATCCAACTGTGAGAGTTCCATGCTTTCAACATCAGATTTGTGCTAGCTAAGTATCTATCATTTGATGTTCAGACATTTTGTAATTAAACATAATTACAGGCGACATCTAACAGAACTAAGAAAATAAGTTACTCTTGATCTTTTTTCTTGATCCATTTTGATTAATTAATAAGAGATAGTTTGATGAAAGAAATACTAATTTAAAGATGAAAGTGCATTTTTCTTGAACCCTTCAATATTTTGCAGGATGACAAGCTAATCTTTTGATCTCTGTCTAATAGAATTCATGTACAAAAGTGTGATGGAAACACTATAGATGGCGTCTCTGCATCAGTACCCTGAATCGTCACCGGACACCCACACTGCCCTCTGCTGTTAAAAGATAATTATAGAAAATAATTAGTATCCCTGATTTCTTTTATTATCGTAAGTGTAAGGATCTAGGAGGGGTGTCCGGGGTAAGTCTCAGATATTTGGCACAAAACTTTTGAAATATATAGAGGATATCCTATGATTTTTGAGGGGTACCATTTTTATCCATGAGTGGATATCGCTCATTTTTTTCAAAATATTTTTTAAAATAATATCCGTCGGATACGATTGGATATCACGTCATATGGATGGGATACTATTTAAGTGGCGTATACGAAAATTATCTTGTGTTGGTTTCTCCATATATATTTAGTATCCATTGGATAAAATTAAATATAATACAGTGATAACCGAGATAACAGTATATTGTCTCGTTGACGAATTAATTAACATATCTAACGTATATTATATCTTGTTTGCATTCTGATTGTGTAAAACACCTAAAATCTAATTTGAAAGACGCCTGCTATCAATTTGAAAAAACGTCAAACGACTTCAAAATACTGAATCGATCATAGTTTATTTATTTGAGTGTCATGGGAAACACCCCAGACCGTTGACGATCTATAAGACACTATAAAATTTATACAGTAAATTACATAGATACCTTAATTGTTTAATGTTTAACATAATGCCACACTTAGTACTGGATAAAAGTCTGTTACAAATAGTCACCAATTTGCGATAAAATACATCAATATGCATTACATACTAAAATATACATAATTTATAAAAAAAACTTCTCCAAAGTCCAAACTATCGAGTTATGTCAATATAAGTCTTGATCTTTGGGATTCGTTTTTAATTGGAAAATCAGCTATAACACTAATTTTGATTATCTGATAAATGTTGTCACCTTTGATACTATCTTATTATGGCGGGAAGTGATAAAGCACATATAGGTTTGCGTCTTTAGAATAAGTGATTGAAAACATTAAATGTGAATGTTACGTTGTGCTGTCTCGACAAACGCCTATCAACATTTTCCAAACGCATATATAACAAGCCATTGACACGCAAAATGTCTGTCATTTGTTATCGACGCCATTTGTTACAGACGCCGACCGCCGAACACCGAACACCAACCGCCATCCACAAAAAGTAGGAGACTATAACAACATTTCCCACTTGTGTTGGTGACATAAGAAACGTTAACAGAAGGAGATTTGAATTCACAATAGAATATAGAATTTGACCACACTGTTCATCTCAATCACGATGAACAACAATAATTTCATATTCATTATGACTTCAAGCTGGAAAGTGACAATTCATTAAGGTACGTTCACACCAACGGCGAATGCCACGCTTTAAATCGGCGAGCAAAGCGCCGTCATTTTTGTCATTTTTCTTCATACCAACGGCGCTTTGATGGCGCTTTAAAGCGGCTTGTAAAGCGGCACCAAAGCGTAACAAAGTTTGATTAAAGCGTCGGGGTCGTAATAGGTCGTAGAAAAGCTCAGAGTAAAACGGGATATTCGGCAAGAGCGCCAAAAAATTTTAAACTCTTAAAAAATTGTGGGCGCTCTGTTACGAATCGATTAAGCGCCGAGAGCGTATCAAAGCTTAACAAACCGTAACAAAGCTCAGAAAAACTTGATCCAAAGCGTAGGAAAGCTTAACATAGCTCTAAAAGGTTCCTCATGCTTTGATCCCGCTTTGATCAGGCTTTGTTACGCTTGAAATCACGCTTTGAAAAGCTTTGATAAGCATTATTACGCTTTGATGCGATTATGACGCTTTAAATCAGGCTCTGATACGATTGCAAAACTCTGTTGTGCATTGTTACGCTCTGTTAAGCTCTGTCACGCATTGGAAAATGTCGAGATCGCCGATTCCATGCCGCTTTTGATCCAATGACTATATAAAGATGCAGTAGATCCATAAAACCATTGCATCTTTGACTCGAGAACACGATGGCAGAACAACGAGATCCAGAAATTCCAGATGGACCAGAGCATGACCTATCTGAAGAAGACATGACGTTTGTCGCACGGCTTGATATAGCGTGTGAAAACTTTCAAGCGTAACAAAGCCTAGCAAAGCGTTTCAATCCTTGATTAAAGCGTCTCAATTCGTTGGAAAGCTTGAAAGTCCCTCAGGAAATTGTAACAAAGAGTGTCAGATATTGATGAAAGCGTCTGACCTCGTGTCAGATCTTCATGCCAGATCGTAGCAAATCTTGAGACATCTTAACGAAGCGTGTCAAGTGGTAACAGACCGTGAATAGACCGGGGTCCCCGCTTTGAACCAAGCTGTGTTAAGCTTTCCTACGCTTTGAGTCAAGCTTTGTTGAGCTTTGTTACGGTTTGTTAAGCTTTGATACGCTCTCGGCGCTTCAATCAATTCGTAACAGAGCGCCCAAAATTTTTTAACAGTTTAACATTTTTTGGCGCTCTTGCCGAATATCCCGCTTTACTCCGAACTTTTCTACGACCTATTACGATCCCGACGCTTTAATCAAGCTTTGTTACGCTTTGGTGCCGCTTAACAATCCGCTTTAAAGCGCCATCAAAGCGCCGTTGGTGCGAACGCTTAAACAGTTTAAATTTTTTAGCGCTCTTGCCGAATATCCCGCTTTACTCCCGAGCTTTTCTACGACCTATTACGACCCCGACGCTTTAATTAAGCTTTGTTACGCTTTGGTGCCGCTTTACAAGCCGCTTTAAAGCGCCATCAAAGCGCCGTTGGTGTGAACGTACCATTAGTAAACTGTATAGAAATTGATTCCGGCATCTAGTACATTGTAAGTGTAAGGGCCGTAGATATCACGCTGCAACAACAATATTAACTTACGAGGCTGGTAAAAGACAGGAACTCACAAGACTGAAGAACTCGCAGACTATTATAATCTCATATTCCAAGCATACGCTGCAACGTGACAGTCGCAGATTGCCTCAGATCTTAGCACACCCTTAGCTAAGTGTAGGAGAGCCGCTGCGCTATACATCGCGATCGGTTCACAATTCACATAGTGGGAAAGAATCGGTTGTCATTGAGCACCAATCTCTGCCATATGTTTGAGAATGCTGAGAGGAAAGAAACGCTCACGAAACTTGGGAATAAGGATTTTGTTTATTACACTATTATTTGGAGGATTAACGTTATTAAAGTATAACCAAGACGCTGGTAAGTTAACGTGTATACATTATTCTGTCACTAATTAAGCGTGAAAAACGTAATTTTTCTGTGGCTGTTTTTAACGGTTAGGTAATCATGGGCTTTCTGGGGAGCAGTTGGATTAATGGATTAATTGATACGTTTTATGTATTATCTGTTGCATCATTATCTGGTAAAACAACAGCAATGTGACAAGAAGGATTGGCTCCCAGGATCGAAACTCGATATTTTCCAACAATGAAATCGTCGAAATGTCGTTATTTTCTGAAATTATAACCAACTATAAATTCAAAATAAACAGTCCAAAAGATTCGAACCAATATCTCGATCATTTCTCCTGAGTTTTGGAATTTTTCGTTCGGAAACAAGACCAAAATTCACGATTCAAATGCTGAAGTGAACAAAATGGTGGCTGTTTGAATTCAAATTTTGTATCACGACATGCCCATATATGGGACAGAATATCGATGTTGCACTCTGGGAGCCAATCCTCCTTGGCAATGTGATAAATACATATCTGCGTTCTAATCACTAAAAAGTCATTAACAGGATTAGTCTACTCCAAGTTAACGACAGATGCGCATGCGATTGAAAGCGAGTGTGACAAAGAAGAATTGATACAACATATTTATAGACATATTCTCAATCTGCTATGCAATATTTATGAATATGGTATTCACCAACTTGATTCTCAAGGTTTCAGTAACCACCTCCACCTCGGAAGTTGAAAAGGGTATTCACTGTATTCGATCATTCAATGTAAAGTGCCAAGGTTGATGAGGCGCTGACGTAGTTTATGCGTGGGCATCGTACAATATCACACTTCCATTTACCACTGCCGTCATGTCGTCCACCTACTATAGTTGCATTGCATGCTATTTCTAGATTTTATTTAAGATGTGGCAGATCCTGTATTGTAATTTGTCTAACCATATCCTTGCATTTTTAGAGTTCATCATTCTTGCTGCGTGCCGAACAACAGAACAAGGTTCAATTTGGCAATACTCGACTGGGAGTAGTATTTTATTGTCCCACAAATAAGGAGAATGTAATATATTTGACACGCTGTAGTCGTCCCTGATACTTGAAAATTAGAATGAACGCATGGGAATAATGTAAAAATAATACAGTATATGACATTAAACTGGAAATTGCACTCATACCAAATAATTAACCCCCACAGATTCAATTTAAATCAAAATTGACCAAAAGTACAGTTTATTCACATCGTGATCCTTGAGAGGCAAAAAAGTATTGATCAATATTTAGTAACTATTGCTTTACTGAAAGAGACAATTTTCACTTTATGCATGATTTGATCATTCCCACAGCCATTTATTGGATATTGAGAACCTTATAGAACCACTTGATCAAATCACATTACACTATTTCCTGATTGTAACATTCTACAGACGGTTTTAGATGGGAATTGATTAAAATGAAAAGCTCTTCGAGGCGAACCCTACATTTACAACCGTGTATTTCTATCTAATTAGGCATAGAATCTGAAGCTACGCTTGTAATTGTGTAAGTTATAATTGTTAGAACTGATAGAGACTTTTCCAAGTTACTTGGATACATATGTTTCGATTAGCACTACAAATAATAATATCACATATGTCGCTGTGGTATTGAGAACATTTCCGACAGTATTCCATCTCTTGGGAAACACTTACTTTATCTCCGGTAATTATATGTATCAAATCAATTAGGAATAAGAGCTTTCCACTAATTGCCTACATGTATTATCCAGATCTATAACGCTTAAAATGTATAAATCATGAATAACAGAAAGTGTGGTCGTTACACTGATTCCCCCACTTAATCCAATATCTTATCATGTATACACGGGCTGGAAACGCGTCGAGTATTTTCGAGGAGTACAACCGGAAATACAAGTTACAAAACTGTGCAATTTTCTTCAAAAATAGATAGGTGCATTCTTTTTTAGTGTATTCTGTGAACTTGTTTTAGTTCTTCCCCACATGCCAATACATCCATACTGTTCCCAGTGCAAAGGGAAAACATCCAGTTGTTACAAGTTGACGCCCAAAACTCCTTTTTTAATAATGTAGGACTAACAACAGAAATATTTTGAATGTCGATGGCTGTCAATTTATAACAAATAAACGCTCCCCGATGTGGTGATCCCATTTATTTTTTTTTGGGGGGGGGATTTTGGGAGAATCTACACATTTATGGAAACTATGTTGGAAGACCACTTTAAGAAAACATAGTTACGTCAATTGTACATGGTACCATGTTGCTTCCAATTTTGTGACCCTCTATAGCTCTGGTTCTGCCTTTAACTATATGATTTGAACCTCGCATTATTAAAGGCACCCTAGACCTATATAAGTGACCGCATGCGATGGATTGTTGAAGGCGATAAATACGTATAGGCAACGGACAATCCCACAGCATCTCATTATTAATCTGCATTGTAAGTGTTTGCAGATGACCTAGGCATTTCTATCTAAAATAAAGTAAATTTTATTGCACAAAAGCTGCGTCTTACCTCGTATAGTGCATCCTTGGTCCAAGGGTATTTCACTTCTTTCCATTTAAGCATAAACGAAGTCCTTTGAAGAAGGATGCGTATATTTCTCTCTGGTGCAATTCATGCTACTAATAAAAAACGATTGCATGGATGTCATTTTGTTTGAGTACAAACTTTTAATGATCAATTATAGATAACTATATTTACTATTATCTGCTTGTCACACCAAATTAAGTTACTCCAAGAGTTTTTGCGACAGAAGTACATTTGGGATTGCGTCCCATTACTAATTAACTGGTTGCGTGAAGACCTTGAAAACAATGCCCTGATGAAGCTCATTAGCAGTTCTGCTAGACCTCCTCACCATTTGATAGCAATAGTGACAATGAATAGGTTGACATACCAGTACCCATACAAAAAAGACTGATGTGGAATAGTATAGGCAAAACTCTAGCTCAGTTGAATGAATAGTTGTGTGACTACAGTATCTACGTGACCGAAAAACATGTATCGTAGGGCTATATTTTGAGTTGGTACGCACACTCGGGGATGCCTGATTGCGTGGCCGAAGGCGGGGGGTTCGGGGCCGGTATGCCCCCCGGGAAATATTTTTTCGAGGACGTTATTTGATGGAATCTAAGCTTTTTTATCAAGTTTAAATGTTGAAAATGGTAAAAAATACAGATACGGTAGGAAGCATCAATAAATTCGGAAATGAATTAATGCATTTTAACACATTTTTAATTTTTTTTTCAAATTTATTTGGTACGCATGTGCGTATTTTGCGTAATAGGCGCTACGCTCATGGAAACTGAATGCATAGTATGGGCGAATGGAACGTATTTTCATGGTTTTTCTGAGAAAGTCAGTTCGGGGAAAGATACAGATACCATGCAACAGTTAGTGGGCAGAACAAAGACAATTGGGGATGTACATGCGGAAATAAGTTAAAACAAAACGCAGCTTAACACGAATCCAAATTACATTCAAAGAGATTCCCTACCAATGCATCTTCTCTTTGCTCTCATAAGCATAACAAGCATTTGGAATAGTTTCAACTAATGAGTTGATGTGATGTAATGGTTGGCTAAAGTCTACATATGTTTTTGATGCTGCAATGATAATTCGTTTTTAATATTTCGTTTTGGTCATATCAAGTAACACAGTAGTAAGTTTCTCAAATAGACATTAAACAAGATAAAAACAAAAAAGACTACTATAGGTTCCACAGCTTGTACTGTTCCTTTTAAGTATAAGATAAAGAAGGACCCTGTCGATAAATCAATATGGCATAAGACACTATTTTTACAACTTGGTGCCGCTGCAGGAGTACTAATTGATACTTTCATTAAGGTCTACTATCAAATAAAAGAAATCGTGCAAATTTCTTGTACCTTATTGATATATCAAATGCTCACCCACCCCTCCCTTCATGCATTGTATTTTTAATTGTTTGTGTAAGTGTGTTTATTTGTGTTTTGAAACTTAAATTAAAAACAGCGACGGTATGTCACATAAACGCATGATGTTCCTTTTACGTGTGTAAGGTATTGTATTTCAGACAAGATACCATACATTTTAAAATCAAACATTCGATCAGTAAGATAATGCCCCATTTTTGATTTGCTTTTTATGTTAATGTTGCCTGAAGCTGATAGCTGTTCACTATAAATGTACAACTTGTTATTTTAGGGCTATCCAAAGATGATGCATCTTCCCAAAGGGTGTTTTTGAGAAAGTTGAGATCTACAGACGAAACTACGTCATCGTCTTCGGGCTTTCCCGAGAATGGCACGGCATCGATTACCAACGTTTCAGAGAGTGCGGCATGTACACCCCCAGGTAATATAACGCATTTAAAACATTATCATTTTATCTTTAATATCTTCTCTTATCCCTAAACTTCTAATGAAATATCTTAATTCATTTTTGCTTTTCTCTGCAAAATAAGTTTACATGTAAGTTTAGTTTATTCATTTCTATTTCTAATAGCTAAACTAAATCACGGGAGGCAAGGCAACCATAACGGCTAGCTTACAGGATTAATGTTTTTCTTTCCTTTCAGCAACGAGAGAGTTGTTTTTGTAGTTCCATATTACTGCTTCATACATTAAAGACTCCTGTATTTTTCATTCGGATATTGTCACAATCTATTTTGCTCTTAGTGTGGAGTAATAGCACAGGTTGAATAGTGTATACAAATTATATTGATCTGCATATTTGTATTATTCTACTTCTCTCACTTGGTCATTCACTCTTTGCTATAAATCTGAATCCAACTGCTCCTCTGGGCTCTTGCTTTATAAGTTAAGGAGGGTGTGCAATATGTTCTGTACAAACATTATGGATTTGTATGGAATGTTGTTGATTAGGCTTTTTCATATGGGATATATTCATTTATATTCCTATATGACAATATGACTCACGATCTAACTGGTCCATAATAAGGTTAAGTTAATTTGAATGTTGTCACACCAACCAGGAAAAATAGGACAATGGTTTTGTTTTGTTAATATGATTCATTATACGCATTTGCTACGTCATAAAACTGAGTATTTTTTGTCCTGCTGTGGACTGGACTTGACAAATCTTATGAAATACAATTAACTAGTCTGTCTTGAATCGGATATTATTCAAGAAAGGGGGCATTGTGACAGTTATTCTAGATAGTTAATCTTAACCATGCTGTAATGAGACGTAAAGATTACTAATTACTTTTTTCTCCTGTGGTTTCCCTAGATTTCATCTGAACAGCTGATAATGATATGGTTCGAATAAAAACTTGACACATTGAAGTCGTTCCTCTCTAAGTGGATTGCAGAGAATTGTGCAAACATGGTTATCCTATTGATTTGTACATGTTTTAACGTTTGCCTATTTCATACTCAACGTAATGAGTCGTTTCAAGTAATGGAATTGACGTGTGTAGAATATCAGATACATTTATTGACTCGAATGCCACAGCCTCGCCAAGTATGAGCAGTGAAGTTAAAATACATCGTTGTTCTCTAACAATAATAATTTCAAGATTTTCATTTGTCAAGGAATTAACATAGAAATGTACAAACTGACTGCATCAAAGTGTTTATTCGTGTATTGGATAATGTGGCATTTGATTAGAAAGGATGGGTATCGATATGGCAAACTTTTTGAACACACGTTTCTCTTAAACCAGTCATCAAAAAATCCTGAAAATTTTACACAGTGTCAATTTAATGGTCATCTTTTGAATGGTAACAATATAATTTGAAATATATATATATACTTTCATCTATATTGTTTTGGAAAACACATCAAACACTTGTTTTGTTCTTGGTATCATGTTTCCAGAGTGAAATGAAACATCTTTCCGAACCTCATTGGAACAAAACGGCACAAACACAACATGTTTAGGTCTCTTAATATTGTAATTGTACAAAGGAAATTGTACAAAAGTATCTTGTTAATGAAATAAAAGGTTTATCTTGATTTTTATCTATTTTGGGAGGATTTTGTTTTACTTTTTTGATTACTTTTTTAAAATCAACCAAAAATTCCTTTGTATAACTATAATATTGAGAGGTCTAAATCATGTCGTATATGCTATTTTGTTCCAACAAGGTTCGGAAAGACATTTTATTTCATTCTCAAGAATTGGTACAAAGGAGCAAAAACAATTGCACTGAAAAAACAAAAAATGTTAACAAAAACAGTTATATCAAATATTTGTATATAATTTTCTTTTACAGAATGTTTTCAATGATTGGCTTAAGAGAAAACCATTGTTGAATTCAGTTCTCCATATCGATACCAATCCTTTGGGAAACTATCAGATCGGGATTTTGAAATTGCTCAATTGATTAATATAGCAGAACACATTAAAATCTTAGATCAATGGCAAATTGACGGTTGAACAACAGTTTTCTTATAATGCGTAACAATATGGAACGCTTTCTTAATTAAACTGTCGGCCAACAATATGTCTCATTTGTTTTTAAGCCATGAATTGAATACATGAATAGCAGTTTAATCAGAAATGAAATGATGTCCGATATAACTTCATAAAGCAAGACAGTATAATAGTCTGTACCTCAAACTATGATACGTGTTGGCCATACATGGGTATTCTAGAATATGTGATGCAGCAAGAAATAGATAAATATTTCGTGATATTTACACAAACTACCCAAAGCTCATAAAAATACCGTAAAATGGGACACATTAATGGTTTCTCTTATTTTATTTCAGAATAATGTGTTGGTAAATATTGAATTATCTAATTTCCTTAGTGTATTGGTCAGTAAAAGGTACCTGAAGTGGCATCCTATGAGATCTCATCGACAAGGCGATGGTTTATTCATGTGAAGGAATTGGATGGCAATTCTTCATCTTTTGTTCAATTGCTTCGGGAGAGGAAAACCAATACCATCATACCAAGGTCCTATTTGGACCCTATTATTATTAGTTGACAGCAACACATGAAAGAAAATACAAGTTATGAATCGTGATTACTTTATAATCGGTACATTTCCATTTACAATGTCACTCTAGTTACTATGTATTTCCCAATTTGGGAATTTTTGTACTATCCCCTGGAATAGACAGAACGGAGAACGGATACAGTGTTTCCTAGACCCTAAAAATTGAAGGAACCGATTAAATCAAAGCAATCAATTGACCATGAGTATATTGGAAAGGCGTTACCTGCAGTAACTTTACAACCAAATTAATGATTACTATGGCCACTCTTACTCCACTAATTTCCATGAAACATGAATGAATTATTCAATGCGCGAGGAGACAGTTGTAGAGGATTAATAATGTATGCGTTCATAGTGTTTTTTTGTTTTTTTTAACCAAAAATATGTTGCTTGTGAGTCGTATCATTTTGTTTGTTAGTAGATTTAATTTATAGCTAAACATAATGGTGTGTTGCCCCAGTTGGATTGACCTTGTATGAGCCTGGTGTAAGACGGTCACTCTGTGATTCTCATGTATCATTGTAAAATGCTTACTATGGTCCCATAAAACACAATGCATTTCATGTTTCAATAAACGTGTTCTGATATTCTTGTATGAAATCAAGGTGTACAATATTACAATGCTTCAAAGTAATCCTTAGAAAAGCCACATTATGATTAATGACTCATTACATGACAGTTTTGAGTACTTTTCTATAACTGGTGAAAACAGAGGCTTGGTGAGCGTTCAATATTGAACATGTTAGATCGCCTAGCAAAGCCATTGGTGTCAGGATAATACGAAGCTGCTGTAACCAATCATGCATCTTACAAGTCCATACTTGTGATCGTTTGAGATAAATATAGACACACAATCAGGATGAAAGCAAACAAACATTAAGAAAGAAGACATTAAGAGTATGCTCTAAATCGTCTTGAAATTCAAGAATGTGTAATTTGCTAGCAAAAGAATTCCACTCTCATATTACCATAAGTGGTAATATGAGAACTCCCATGGGTCCATAATTACTCCATCAGGCATAAAGTGACAAGTGATATTAAACTAGCTGATAAATGATTCGTAATTGGGCGTGATCTAAACATCTTTATAACCTAAAGCATTGAATATGTAGAATAACAGATTTTAAGCAAGTCTCCTATATTAGTTTATATCTAGAATGTGTCATCGTAGGTATATTCCTAAGGTTTATAACGATTTACCTTGCCCTTAAATTTCTGTAGTCGAGGACAAACATTTCTAACAGTGGGCGAATGTTAAGGATCTAACGATGCACTCACGTTATTTAAAGAATCAACCGAGAAGCATGTTAAGACTATTTTTACTTCTACCATAGCTATTTTGAATGTGAAATTCCATAAGGCTGAGTGAACCTTCTCTGATACATAAATTGTGATTTTTCATTTTATTTACGGGTCTAAGATCTTGTCAATGTAGAAACAAGTCATAAAACAGAGGTTCAGGCCATGATATGGACACATTAGCTTATTTGCGACTTGATACTCTTCAATCAATACAATTTATTCTTTGCTTCTGTTTAAAGGAGACAGCTAGCTAAGATGCATAGCAAATTACCATAAACCTAAAGGATTTGGCAGCTATTTTAGGCCCACGACTTTCTTATCAAATGAAGCATATTAATCACATGGAGAATGGTACTATATTTTGTATATTTGATCATTATTTACAGCTAATTTCGAAGTTGGAAAAATATGGGCCATGAAATAGTCAGATTTTCATCTTCAGTAAATCAAATTTATGTGGAGTCGAAGAATACAACGTTATACAGTAAAACCTGTCTTAGTGAACACCTCTCTCTAGTGAACACCTGTCCCTAGTGGACACCATTCCTACGCACATAGTCCACTGACTTCTGTATAAATTACCCTCTCTCTAGTGAACACCTACCTACAGTGAACGTTTTTTCTTGTCAAAAAATGTTCACTATACACAAGTTTTACTGTACATTTAGTACTAATAAAGTTCCGATGCGACTTCAGACTAATCAATTTAATGTATACCAGGGTAATGTCAGGCCAGTCAAATTATACACGAATCGTATCTTACTCTGTAAAATTCCAACGGGTAGTTCTATGATAATTCTACATGTTGTAGACAAAACTGTTGGTAATCTAGATAGGATATTGGTAACGTGATCTAGATCGTGGCTAGATCCATGCCATTTGTAAGCTCAAAGGATATGAAGGACTTTCAGCCTCAATTTAGTTAATATTGAGTGTGAGTGGATATCACTTAGCTTTAATAGCAATTGTCGCATATTGTTGTCATTAGAGAGTGTCTGTAGGCATTCTGATGCGCTAGAGTTTCTATCTCTGCAAGGTGGATCGTTTATATTGTATTTATTTCAAATTTGAAGAATGAAACACATGTATTTGAATTATTGTTCGCACTTAAGCTCCAAAGTATTAGAATGACTGATTGGGCAGATTATCTCAGGCCTTGGCTTATATCTACTACTTTCATCGTGGATTGGTGCTTTGGCTGTTTATAACGCTTCATCCAGTCACCGAGTTCCATAATCGAGTTCTATCAAGTCAGATTATGATATTTGTGTCTTAGAAAATTAGGTCTTACGAGTTTATTCTGGTTTGAGAAAAAGCTGCCGGTTTATCTGATAAGATTAAGTTCAGGCTCTATCCTTCACTTTAAAGTCTAGTCTGCAAAATTAAGGCAATGCTAATGAATCATCAGTAGCAACTATATCATTGTAACATGATTAAGAAAATGTTAGTCAAACCTTATAAATGAAATATTAGAATGATCAATGGTTGACAGTGTAATATCCTCTCCGTTGTAATGTGCTTTGCTTTAGCGTATAATTTTAATTCTTCATTACAATGGTGGCAGCGATGGGATTTGCTAAATAACAATATAGAAAACATAATTCAAATGATTTACAAATAAAAGAATGTAAAAGGTCTAGTAGGGTTCTCAATGCAGTTTTATAGCAACGTGTTTTATTTGATAACACATGTGATTGTGTAATTAGTTTCAAATGCAATATTAATGTTTTTTATTGTACAGTCAACCCAATTATTACACCAATAATACATACACTCCCCTCCATAAGTTTGGCAACCTTTTTCCCCCATTGAACTACGTGTTAAAGCCTCTTTACCTTTGAACTTTTATTTACTTAACCTGCGATGAAAATACATACTATTGATGGAAACATAATTTGACTTTAATTCCAATATCTCCAAATTTTCTCAATTTTTTTCCTCAATTACAATAGGCCGAAAATTGATGATAAATTTGATGAATTTTTGAAAATCGACATTCCCATGTTAACCAATGGGAAATGGTAGGTTTGCCGCAAGTCATATGACAGAATATCCATCCATCCAAGTCTTTGCAGAAAATACGAGTTAGGCAGGCAATTGAATTTGCTAACTTTATTTAACAAAAAATTGATATGTTTCTTCAGATTCAACAAAGTTATAGGGCTTTAAAGTCAAAATTGTTTTTCAAAAAACCTCTCCCATTGAAATAACACAGGAGGCGGAAAATTATTTTCAAAAATGACTTTGAAGCGCTGTAACTTTAATATTCATCAAATAAACTAAACACTTAGTGTTCAAAAAAGCTAGACAATTCAATATTCTATATAAAAATATTTTTTGCTGAATCTTTTACTGAAAAGATATCCTGATTTTTGATTTGCCCCGAACCCTCCATTTCCCATTGGATTACATGAGAATGACGATTTTCAAAAATTCGTCAAATTTATCATCAATTTTCGACCTATTGTAATTAAGGAAAAAGATTGAGAAAATTTGGAGGTATTGGAAATGAAGTCAAGTTACGTTTCCATCAATATTATAAGTTATTTCATCGCCGGTTAAGTAAATGAAAATTCAAACGTAAAGAGGCTTTAACACATAGTTCAATGGGGAAAAAAGATTGCCAAACTTATGGAGGGGAGTGTATGATATAGCAGATATTAAAGCAGCTACAGAAGGATCAAATATGGATCAGAAATTTAATTATTGAAAAGGAAAACCAATTATTCTTAGTTCATCTTTGCTCATTTTCTTCTTTCATTTTTGTTTTGTGAAAATCACATGTCACGAAACGATTAGCTGCTTTTCTATATCTGCATTTTATTTCCGAATGAGAATTCTATTTCTCTTCACTATGTCGGCTTATCATGTGTTTCTATTGTTTGTAGTCACAGTGTCTTCACTGACTAACCAGGTGATTTTTTTCTATTTCAGCCTATCATGAGTTTCCGCCAGATTTGTTCACGTTGTCACAGAAGAGCCACGGAGCGATTGTGCTCCACACATTGGTGGTGATATACATGTTTGCAGCACTGGCCGTGGTCTGTGATGACTACTTTGTTGCCTCCCTCGAATCCATTTGTGATGTAAGTTAACATGGTATGGTTTTATCTTTGCCCTAATTCATTCCAATTATGTAAATGGTACAGGGTGTCAAAAAACAGGACTGAAGAAAAGTTAAATAACTCGTTCAATCTTGCATATTCTCTCTTAAAATTTCAGAATTATAAAGTTCATTCAATGTGCATTTTTGTAAAAGTTTGATGATAATCTACTCATTGAATCAAACAACTACAGTTCTTTACAAAACATGCTTCAAAATGGGCACCTCTCCTCTATATGAACAATCGAATCCGGCGAACGAAGTTGGTGATGACCCTCGTGCACACATTAACATGATGGCACGAATTGGGGTAGTTATTGGCCTCTTGAGATCAGCAATTGTCAGTCAGCATACACATTGTCTTTGAGATATCCCCACAGATGAAAAATCTGGGGGATTGAGATCTGGCCAATGAACTGCCAATGTTTTGCGTTCTGCGACTGATAAGCAGACCACCAAAGCATTGCCTAAGCCATTCCAACATATCATTTGCAGTGTGGAGGTGGCGCCATCTTGTTGAAAGCATTGCCTATCTAATTGAATACCCCTTCTGGTGCCTAGTGATCTCCAAAGCTTAGTGAGAAATTGAATATAAGGGTCATTGTCCTTGTGATAGCTCATCCCTAGTCATCTTCGAATCAATAGGGACCGATGATTCCATGTTTGCTTATTGCCACCAAGGCAGTGCATTTTTCAGAATGCCATGGACGCTCTAACACTTCATCAGAGGGATGTAAGCCCCAGTATCAGCTGCTCTTGGAATTAACTTGTCCATTCAAATCAATGTTTAGGAGGGTCTCATCACCAACAACTTTGTTCTCAATTAGCAGATTACAAACAATTACATTTACAACGAAATTCACATTGAATGAACTATATAATTCTGAATTTTCAAGGCAGAATATGCAAAATTAACCAACTATATATTCTTCGGTCCTGTCTATACAATACACACGGAAAAAGCAACCCTTTAATTTGAGAATAATGATTTCAATTATGGTAGAGCAATCTTGTACTTGGCCTCACTTTTTGCCATTCAGTTTCACACTGCGACAAAAATCTGATAAGTGTTCTGTACCCTGTTGTTCTCTAAATTTAACATGTCTTTGAATAAGTTGAAAATGTCGAATCACTTAATCTTATTAGTTTGAATAATTTAATATGTTGTAAGTGGTTAAATCAGTTTGTACCACACAACAGAATGGGAACTGTCGAGTTGTCGAGTATGGATTGTGCCACCTACAAGTTTTCAATTGTTATATTTGTAGAAATTACATCTCAGTGAGGATGTTGCTGGCGCCACCTTTATGGCTGCTGGCAGTTCTGCCCCGGAACTTTTTACATCTGTCATAGGTAAAGTAGTATATGAGCTTTATCAGGGTGTGGAAACGTGTACAATATTTTCGTAGATTCCACAGAAAATCGCCAGATTTATTCAAAATTTAGGGGGGTGTAGCTTTATTTTGTCGTCGATGAATATTCTTCTAATACTTACACACCTACCAATAGGCTCATCAAATTCCCATCGGAGAAATATTCAGTTATTACAAATTGACACCGAAAGGTCAAGTTTTTCAATAATGTTGGGTTAGCCACGGAGTTTTTGTTCAAAATCAGATTATTTCTTTGTTTGACCCACATTTTACAAAAAAAAACTAGATAGATGGCTGTCAATTTATAACAATGAAATATTTATCCGATGTCATTGGAACGCGACGAGCGCATTGCAGTGAGGGAACACTAGAAAACGTTCACAAACAAACAAATAAAACTACGTACACTACGAAATTAGTCTATGCGTTTACATCCCCTGTTTATTAGATTCGAGTTTTAAATCATTTTTAACACCATACTAACAATAAAAAAGAAACCCTGAAAAATTAAAATTGAATAGCTTAAGTTGTAGCGTTGGTGTTTATTTTTTTTACATATTCAGGTGTATTTTTTTTTTACATATTAAGGTGTGTTTATCGCAAAAGGTGATGTTGGAGTTGGGACCATTGTAGGATCAGCCGTCTTCAACATTCTTTTTGTTATTGGTATATGTGCTTTACTCGCTGGACAGGTAAGAAGTGGATTATTAACTTTTATGTCCTTGTATGGATTTGCCAAATGGGATTTCCTCCGATCATTTTCTTCATGTTTCCTTATAATCTAAGATCTTAATTCATCTAGGTATTCATCTACATCTATGTCGTGTAAAAAACCACTCCGGGGATTGTACAATAATTTATGCAAGACAGTCATAAGGCCATTTAACGAATATATATTTCCACTCGCAATCCAGGGACCAATTATGATTTAATCTTTCAGAATGACATGGATCCCAAATGGAAAAACATAAATATCCAATTTAATAAAATGCAATCATTTATCCATTTATGTACCATAATTTCAGATGAAGCAGAAATGTATAAATAGTGAGTTTTATATTCGTAATTTGCAGCATTTTCATTTCCTCTTGATGGATCTGAATGTAGCACGGGTATCATTAATGGTGAAGGCTTACAGCTAAATACTCCATCTCATATTCTATTTCTTACTGTAGTTATGACAAAATCCATTTCCCCTATTATGGAGTAATTATCGAGTATCATCAAATCATGGTGTTGGCTTATACATTCTTTATTCTCTATCATCAGATACTGTGACTACTTAAGGTAGTGCTCCTTACATTTTAATTACTAATGACCTGTCATTGTTGAGGAATAATCGAGTGGTGGGAATTTATAAATATATCATTCTTTGTACTGTACTGGAACTGATAGTAGAATAGTTCTTTTGTTTCTTAAAATCGTGGTTAAGGTATAACATATGAAGTGCATGCAGTTAGCTATTTAATACATGTACCAATGGTGCTAGAACGAGTTAATAGATAATATTATTGCTATGATCCTCTTTTCCTCAAGATTGAAATGAAGTGCGGACTTATATTTTTCTGTTCGTCCATAAGCACTGGGCATGATAGTTAGTGTTCATTTAATACTGAGCATAAAAATGCATGTCTGCAAACTCGTATATTCAGTTCAGTTTAAGAATAATTGCATCAACTAACTCACTAATGTCATTGTTCAAATGAAAGTATATAACTGGTATTGACGATAATTCACATTCGATTTGATTTTCAGGCTGTGGTGCTGACATGGTTCCCTTTGCTGAGAGATTCCCTATTCTACTCAGTCTCTGTTATCACTCTGATCGCCGTGAGTTAACGCTGTTATAATAATCCTCAGTATAGCGTATGTTATCAATCAAACCATCCTGAGTATTGACTTTGTTATCCGTTAATTTTATCCTGAGTATAACCTATGTTATCAGTCAAATCATCCTTAGTATAACATTATGTTCCAATTGCATTTTCTGCCCTAAAGCTTTTGCTATCGTTCCAATAATTGTGAGCGGAAATTATGTTACCAATCAAAACATCCTGACTATAAACTTGGTTACCATTCTCTTTATCCTGAGTATAACCTATATATCAGTCAAATTATCCTTAAAGTATAACATTATGTTCCAATTGCATTTTCTGCCTTGAAGCTATTGCTATTGTTCCAATTATTGTGAGCAGAAATTATGTTACCAATCAAAACATCCTGACTATAAACTTTGTTACCATTCTATTTATCCTGAGTATAACCTATATATTAGTCAAATTATCCTTAAAGTATCACATTATGTTCCAATTGCATTTTCTGCCTTGAAGCTATTGCTATTGTTCCAATTATTGTGAGCAGAAATTATGTTACCAATCAAAACATCCTGACTATAAACTTTGTTACCATTCTATTTATCCTGAGTATAACCTATATATTAGTCAAATTATCATTCCAATTATTGTGAGTATAACATAGGTTATCAATCAAAACATCTTGAGTATTGTTACCATTCCATTTATCCCCCTCCTCTATCATTGTGACATATCTACAATTGTGATCATATACTTGTTGTCATATTGACTATAACTGTTACTGTATACATCCAGTTGAAACATTTTCCCCAGACATCCATTTTACTAATTAATCTTTTATCTTGGAAATTGATGTTGAGACCTGTCACATTGAAACTCAAGAGGAACACTCACATAACAACATGATTAATTGCATACTCTAACTATTTTGTCTAATTACCATGTTCAGAATTACAACAGTTAAATGGTAACACAGAATCTGATCGCCTTATTAATTCAATGGGATTGGAACAAGAGTGTATTGTACTGTACAATCTGTCTCAATCTGTCTTACCTACGTAACTTTTTATGAATTGAGTTGTCAATTCAGCTTATGTATTTCATCTTGTAGGTTATCTATGATGGCTGGGTAACATGGTATGAGTCTCTCATCATGCTGGTTTTCTATGTTCTCTACATCGTGACGATGCGGTGAGTGGTCGGTCTTCTGCGCTCTGTATCATATAGAGCAATCTGTATGAAGTGTATGAATCAGCAAAGCTTTTTATAATTACTTTTTAATGGAATTATCATTTAAACCTCTTTCATAGCAATCCCGAAATGATACTCAGTGTTGAACATAGAATTGAATAAACAGTGTAATTTACAACATACTGAGATAGAGTCGGGCATAGAGTAAAGAGGTGATCTTTCATGAATGTGTGAATGCCTGTTTTCTTTTGTGTATCTACTTCAGTGTGTTATAAAATTAATTTATTAGCATCTACAACAAGAGCTTATATATTAGAAACTCTTGGGATTCAAACGAAATCATTTCCTAGGCTTTTATATGCAACATAGTTGGATAACCATTAACCCCTGAGTGCTTAGATTGCTTAATGTTACCTTTCGAAAATAAATAATCATTACAGAGGAGATGGGTGTTTTCAGACATGCTTATACATAATACATGAATTGCATCATTTATTGTCTGCATGAAAGTTCTGCAACAAGTTTTCCCAAGCATGTATATTTCTCTATAGGTTCAACACTAAAATTCAGGCTTGGTGTGAAACCAATATTCCGGTACCTGCTCCAAAGGCGGGAGACATCGCAGATCGGACATCTATTTTACCTACTAAAGAAGATACGAAATATTACGGAAATTATGGTGAGTACGCTGTACTTCTTTTGTCTAACTATTGTGCTATCATCCTTCATAACGAACGCCTTGCACCAAAACGCAATAGAACGAATGGAATACTATTTGACCCAGTGCCTTAGACCAACAACCAATGCAACTAGACCGATTGATGTTGCACATTGTTTAACATAACGATTTTTCAATATTGAAATAAATGGATAAATCATTTTGATTTCTCAAAAATACTGTTATGTCAGAAGGCAGTCACGTTGCTAACCTGACGCTGCACCAATGTATAGTTGCAACACAACGACAGCCAGTACGTGAGGAGACTCAGTGCTGACATCTAATCATTCTTATATTCATCAATAGCTCAGTATAGCTTACTTCTCTAACTAAGAAGCATATTTTGATTATTACAAGCCCCACTTTGGCCTTTGTCCATTCTTTGTCCATCAAATAGCCAGTATTAATGGCTTATCCATTACATAATTTTAGAGGTGTTCAAGAACGAAGATGAGAAGGGTGCTGCTCCAGTGTTTGATGGCAGGAGATGTAGTATAATGCCAGTAGATGATTATGTTGCACAGAAATCCCGCAAGTAAGATCCCCTCTTTATCTTAAAAGTGTACATAATAGTAAGATACACTGCAAAGACAGGTTACTCGACGCGTGTTAAATTACAGAAAGTTGAAATTATATTAAAGCCCCCGACCTTTGTGTTTTATCAGGCTCACATGGCCAGAGGCCTGCTTTCTTATGATGATGAAGAAATTCTTCAAGCCAAAGACGAGATTTCGCTCGGCCGTCTTACTGGTTATATCCCAGAGACAATCAATGTTAGAGGACGCGTCCTATATGAAGAGATACAAATATAGACATCTCAGCTACCTCAGTACAGAAATAAGCTCCTATGCCGAAGCAGTCAAAGGCTGGTAAGTACTGTTACAATTGGTAGTGATATAAAATATAATTTGTAGCCTTGGAATCAAGATTTGTAACTTGCAGGTTGGCAATGCAAAACAATACTTTTTAGAAATAACACTGTTTACATAATGTTACTGATATGCCAATCGATTTTTGTTTTTAAAGCCTGGCTCAAAATGATGAAGACCAGGCCTGGGACACTTGGAAGAAACTACCAAGTAAAAGTAAGAATAGTATTTATCTTAATACTGATACTTAATATAACTACTTTAAAGGGAAAGACTAAAGAGTCTAAGGAAAATGAAATGGCAAAGGGAAAAGCAAAGACATAAGGGACAGTAACAGAAATGATGGAACGCAAAAATACCACGTCGTCTACCATTTTGGAATCATCATTGTCACAATTCAAAACCACAAAACTATGGGATATATTACACTTTATAACATACCTATGATGATGTATAGTGCAAAGTGTACACAAGACGGCGGGCCAATATAAGTTTTGAAAAGCCCGCGCCCGCTAACTTTCTGATTGGTCAAGGTGCTGACGTCATAACCAATCAATCGAAGATAAAACTGCGCGAGCAATTTTTCTAAACTCATTTCAATCATTTTCAAACCATTTGTTTGTCAATTCTTTAAGAAAATGGTACTCTCTGACCAGTCTACATCATTATAGGTATGTTATAAATCGTTTATGTCACTATCGTGGCACATATGCCCTCGGTTCTCAGAGATCAATGTCCCTCCCAAGGTCGGGCCATATATCACTGAGACCTCGGGCATATATGCCACGATAGTGACATAACCTCTAATTACTTAAGGAATCGTCCCAAGATTGCAACGTATATTTAAAGTGCCTGTTGTTTCAACTAATGATAGATTGAAAGTTTGTTTTATTTATTTGTGGTTTTGATTTTTTAAATTGTTTCTTTGACGTCTGAGACACTCTATGTGTCAGTGCAAAATTGTTATTTTCCATGACCCCCCTGAATTCAAAATAGCCCTAGCTAGACTAAAGAATCAAACCTTTAGGACAAACACACATGTGGTCAAGTTCCTGGTTAGTTTCTCATATTTGAAATACGTTAGACTCATTAGAATTAATAGACTGAAAAGGAAAATGATGCAAGTATAAATATTTGAAATGTTCATTTTTCATTTTAGGTGATGGAGTAAAAAACATTGTTTTATGGGCCTTAGCTTATCCAATAAAAATAGTGCTTTATTTTACTATCCCTGACTGTAGAAAAAAGCGGTGAGTATGGTAATCGAGATAAAAAACATTTATACAATATTCTACAATATTGCAGTTAACATCATTTTACTAGCATTAAAATTTACACAACGATTTGAAATAGACAACCACCTATAAACCGTGATTCATGTAAAAATATCTGACAGTGTGTATTTTTAGTCTTTTTAAGAGTCATGGAAATAGTGCTTTCAAAAAGGGAAATGACTATGCAACAGAGGGTGTAGAGAGGATGGGCTCATCGTTCATAACATGAATAATTACTGTTTTAAATTCCAGGTGGGAGAAATGGTTTATGGGAACATTTATAATGGCCATAATTTGGATAATGGGATTTTCCTACATAATGGTGTGGATGGTAAGATATAAATATTCACAACCAACCTACAGGGTGTCCGGAAAGTAAAGATACAGACACTCTAATTTTAAGAGATTGGGTTTTTTTGTAAAGAAATTGCATCTACCAACTTTTATAACATATAGTCTAAACGTGTGAAAGTTACGGTTGTCATGGTTACGGTGGTCAGGGGTATGCGGAGCAGTTCACAACAGGTAAATCTATTGAAATTAGAGCATTTGTATATTTACTTTCCGGACACCCTGTAGATGTACAACCATATTGAAAGAATAAACAGCGCGCAGCTATAGCCGTGACACTTTTTTTGTATCAAAGGAGTGGTATTGATATGGAGAACTTTTTGAACACGCACTTCTCTTAAACCAGTCATCAAAACATTCTGAAAATTTTACACATCGTCAATTTAATGGTCATCTTTTGAATGGTAACAATATAATTTGAAATATATATTTATACTTTCATCTATATTGTTTTAGAAAACACATCAAACACTTGTTTTGTTCTTGGTATCATGTTTCCAGAGTGAAATGAAACATCTTTCCTGCGAACCTGATTGGAACAAAACGACATAAACACAACATGTTTAGGTCTCTCAATATTGTAATTGTACAAAGGAAATTTTGGTTGATTTTATCTATTTTGGGGGGGATTTTGTTTTAAGTTTTTGAATACTTTTTTAAAATCAATCAAAATTCCTTTGTATAACTATAATATTGAGAGGTCTAAAAACATGTTGTATATGCTATTTTGTTCCAACAAGGTTCGGAAAGACATTATTTTATTTCATTCTCAAGAATTGGCAGAAAGGAGCAAAAACAATTGCACTAAAAAAACAAAAAATGTTAAAACAGTTATGTAAAATATTTCTAAATAATTTTCGCGTTAAATTGTTGTCAATCAGTCAACATTACATAAAATACCATGTCTTTTTACAGAATGTTTTTATTAATGATTGGTTTAAGAGAAAAACATTGTTGGATTCAGTTCTCCATATCGATACCAATCCTTTGAAAGCAACAACAGAAATATTAAATTAGATACCAGTCGATTTATATGTTCTATATGTCAATCCAGAATTTGTATTTGATTACAGGTTGTACTAATCGGTTTCACACTGCATATACCTGACAGTATTATGGGCATCACATTTTTAGCAGCTGGTACCAGCATTCCCGATGCCATTTCTAGCGTGATAGTAGCCAAACAAGGTACCTTATTTCTAGCATAGCAATAGCTGTATACAATTTACTTTTATTTCAAAATATTAATACTTTACAATAAAGTAAGTGATCTTACTCCAAACAAGACAACTTATTGTGGATTAGTAGCCAAATATGGCCAGTACATCAAAACTTGCTTGATTTTAGCATATTTATTATTGGCAGAATCTAATGTAGCGTTTTAGGACAAATTGTATGTAATATTTTTAAATATGCAACACGTGCCATTTGATTAAATAATATTTTTCTCAAATTTGAATATACACAAACTTTTGAATTTAAAAATTGAAAGAAATTGTATCCTTTAAAATTTCACCAATTTAGAATATATTTAATTTAGGACAAGGCGACATGGCAGTGTCTAACACGATTGGCAGCAATGTGTTTGATGTTCTGGTTGGTCTCGCATTGCCATGGTTTCTTAAAACTGGCATGGTGAATGCAGGGTCATCAGTACGTAATAATAAAAATAATTTGATAATTTATAAATAAGGTAACACTGTTTTACATACATGCTAAGACTTGACACTTTGACAATTGTATCACTGTGAAAAAACAAACTTAATTTTGTATACAGTCAATCGTGATTCCTTATAATAGTCTATCACACAATAAATTATATTTGCTTTTTATATTCCAGGTTAGAATAAATAGTAATGGATTAGTAGTGTCCGTCATCTTACTCTTCCTCACAGTTCTAATAACAGTAAGCTTGCGTTTCTACTATAACATATATATAGACCGATCAATGAAACCTGAGTTTATATTCACTCCGATCCTGTTTTACTATATGATACCATTGGTGAATCTCACACTGTAGTCCATGGTATGATTTCCGAATATGAAGGATCCGTAGCACACTATAGCGCAGCAACATTTGAAGCAATATTTGATAAGGTGCATATGTCTCGATTCTTTTAAAATACCATCTGCTGAAAAAATTTCCGGCTTTCGGGTCGAAAAATGTCTTTCATCACAAGGGGTCAAAAAACGTTAATATATTGATTAGAACTTTTATACATTTTATAAGACACAGACTGTTATTCTAAGCATACAAACAGAATATAGATTATCATAATGCAAAAAATATACTATAATTTTGCTGTAGATGTCGGTGTTTAATTAGTGTAATTACGCAAGTGTGATTTTCAGATTTTGTTTGAGTTTTCAAATATGAGCCAAGCAGATTCAACAAAATTGTGTGGAATATATAGGTAATTTATAATTGGGAACATATTAGTTTTCCTACCATTTAAAACATTTTATTACTAGAATTTTCCATATAATCACAAGGGGTCAAACAACAAATTATTGTTAATATTTTATAACACATAATACAATAACAAATAGGTAAGATTTATATCAAATTAAATGTTACAGAGGTATTGGAATGTTCATATATTCTAAAGGCATGTCTAATAATCAATTAGAGTCATATTCCTCGACGTTACTGCTGGCTATCATCAAGTTTTCTGATGGTTGTTTCTTCTTTGACCTTACCGCTGGATACAATCAAATTGTAGGAAGATAATGATAACAATTTTTCTCAATTATTCATGAATTCGACCAAGTCTTAATGGTTGTTTCATAAGCAATTGAGCTATGTCTAACTACGAGTATTAGAATTTTAGCGGTAGTCCCAATTAGTCAAGGACGAGCAATAGGCCATCCTTTATTGATAATGTTCACCGCGGAATAAGAGTCCATATCTCAAAACGTATCGAGACCCATTTTGTGAAAAATTAGCATAATTTAAGCATTTGTCATTCTAATATAAAAGTGATTCATTTGTAGCATTTTTTATCTTCTTAATATCTGAGAAACAATACAAAACGTCGATACACTGATTACATTATATTTTTTTGGTATTGATAAGAAAAATAACCTCAAACTTATAGCTTGAAACCTATATCATATATTTAAAATCATTTTGTATTATTTTTTGTTGCATTGTGAACTCCAAATTGTGAAAAATTGGGATTTTATTTTTTGGTAACTTTTTGACCTCTGTTAATGGGAGACATAATTCAGCCTAAAAGCCGGAAGTATATTAAACGGTTATAATAAAAATTATTAGGGAACATATGTAGGTATGTTAATGCAAGGTCAACTATCGCTGCGCTATAGTATGCTACTAGCTCCTTTAATAGACGTCCTAGAGATTTCATACCATGGACTACTGGACTCCTATGTTGACAAGGCAATGCGCGTGTGATAACATAAATGTAATTGTAGTCACACTCGTAAATTGATAATATGCTTTGAGAGGGATCGTACGATTTTTCCAAGGAGATTCAACTTTGCAAGATTAATTTTTTCATGAGAAAACAAAGCGTAGCGCATTCCATAGCATAGGGGCACTCATTTAGTAATATATTTGTAAATTTTCTCGTAAAAAGTAAATCTTTAAGATTTGTTAATTTTCTTGCAAATATAAAGTACGACCCCCTCCCTTCCTCCATGCATTTTGTTGTTTGATGATTCTTACGGTATGTTATCTAAAATGACAGTGACATAATAAAATTTCAAACTAATCTGGAAAAGCAGAATTTAGATGTCAGACTTCTGTAGTCATGTTATTTTGATTTTAGATATAAATCCAGATTGTTAAAATAGGCTAATTCAATATTTTCATTCTCTTTTGTAGATTGGTGCTATTAATTTTACCGGATGGACATTAAACAGACGTTTGGGCATAGTGTGTATGGTGTCATACACAATTTTCTTAATTTTTTCAATTTTAACTGAATTTAACGTGTTTGGCTATGTGAATGCACCAATGTGCCTTGAATGATATGTTCCAATATCTAAATTACTACAGCTGACATTCTGTAATTGAACAATATCTTTCCAACTGAAACTCTGAGTGCTAAGACAATACAAAACAATTGACTGAATACTAGGATTAAATCATTGTATGTGTGAGGCTCTAACCATGCAAACTATTAGCGGACGTATTTGTGCGAATGGTTAACATAAAATTAATATCGCAAAAATGGAATCGTTTTTATTCATAGTTTATTTCAAATATTCAATTTTTACATAGAAGTAGTTTCCCACACATTTTAAAAACTTTGATCTTGGCTGAGAAATATTCTAAAAGCCTTTCTGTTCATAACATTAATTGGATGTCACCAAATTGCTACTCTACCGACATCTATATCATCATTAGATATAGATTATAAGATTCATATATGTTTAGGTGTAAAATATAGTATGTTGTTATACATGCATAGAACATGTACCTACATGATGTTGCAATTGTACTTTTACTGTAGTATGATGTGGAAATATAAAGTATATATATGTAATATTGTTTACCTCTGCGTTCAGTTTAATTGTAATAACTAAGACTGTTTTTTGTATGCCCGCGGTGCTAGTGAATTACGTTAAGTTTTAATGAGGTTTCTCCCGGGGTATCACTATAAAGAACACTAAGCCCTACAGTGGTCATTACATGCTCATGTGTTTTCAACAAAAAAGCTCAGTTGAGTGCACTAAAACTCACATAATTATTTTGAAAGACATCAGGGATTATTGCAATCGAACTCCTGTGGAAATAAGAGTAGGGAGATTCAAGAACGGATGGCACTGCAATAAACTACATCCTCCGATCACAGAGCTTCAAAATCCAGAATATCTTATTTCTTTTTACTGGCAAGAATGAGGTACTGCTTATGGAAACCTGCATAGGCTGATGAATAAACTATTTCTCTTGAGATTCGAAAGGACATCGGGAAGGATAGTTTCACAGTGTTTTAGTTTATCCTCGAACGAATCTCATGTATTTTCTGATAACTTCCTTTTTGCTCTTTTATTACTCTTTCTTTTTTAACGGCGCATTTATTAAAGGAGGAGGGGAAGTACCAAAATACATTTCGAACAGTCATATGTTGGATTTTGGCTATTTTCTAGGGATTTAAACAGGTGCATATTTTAGACCAATACATTATCTCCAGGAAAAGCACTCCTGATTTTCAAGCCCTTCCACCCCTGCTTTTTCTTTTTGTTGCATCAATATGTTGCGTTTTAAGACACATCGAATTCCTTTAAAGGAATAAGTAATTCCTCTTAGATAAAGTGGAAAACAATATATCCCATGTTATTTTACCACAGGGAAAAGTCGTGCGATCCATTGCTTTCTGGTAATTTTGGTCTCTAAACCCCTGAAGGAATTACTTATTCCTTTTAAAGGGGTTGTTTGTCAAAATGCAAAATATTGATGCAACAAAAATTGAAAAGCAGGGATGGAATTAAGGGGTTGAAAATCAGGACAACAATTCAGAAAAACATGTGAGTGGGTTGTTTGCATCTTCCCTCTCTCGAAGTCGAACATATTTTATCATCCCTAGGAGTGGTTTTCGAATTTCCTGGAGTTAGTGCATTGGACTAACATATGCACCTGTTTAAATCCTCAGAAAATAGCCAAATAATATTAGGCGCATAGTTTGGGAAATACTATAAGTTATTGAATGATTTAAAGTGCAATACAGAATGTATCCTGTATTGCACTTCAAATCATTCTATAACGTTTTTATCGTGTGGTCCTCTGTATTGTTACTGAGAATATTCCCTCCGTATCAATATTTTCTGTATTGCGACGGAGATGATCAATGAAGACAATCTCAGTAGTAATACAGATTGGTACAGCACAAGAACTGACCAATCAGAAGGTTTCATTTTACAGATCATACGATAAATACAGAATATCACATCATTTTGAGTGATATCATTTTTATCGCTGAGTTGATATCAAATATCAACTCGAGTGAGCGAAGCGAATGAGTGTTGATATTTGATATCTACGAGGCGATAAAATGATATCACGAGAAATTATGTGATATTGGGTTTATCCCATGGTTACAATCATATTGTGATGTTCTGATCCAATTTCCAGGACATTGGCAGACAATATTAGAATATTAGAATATCAGTGGCGCGAAATGCAAATGTGATATCACACGGATATGCGTGAGATAAACGATATCACACGCTATGAGTTTGATAAACGATTTTCTGGAAAATATCACACGGATTTCAATAATATCAGAAATATCAATAGCTGTTATTGTACAGATAACACATTAATCGTGGGATAAATGTGAATATAGGCGCGCAGTTTGACAGGAAAAAAGTTTAAATCACGTTTATGGCGTATTATATTTAAGGAATAAATAATGATAGGCCATTCAATATGGTGAAATTCAGCAACATTCTGTCCAACGAGTGCTGAATTTCACCATATTGAATGGCCTATCATTATTTATTCCGATTCAAACATAAAAATTAGTGAAAGCCGTGTCTGTGGAACGGGCATGAAGGAAGAATACGCATGCTGTCAAGATTCTGAAGTCGGCCGGAAAAATTTTAGAATTTGTTTGGGCTGTTCTATTTTACTCACCGTTTTAGATTTTATACGGTGTATGCAAACATGGGTCAGCCATAGTTAAATAGTTACAGTAGTTACGGAGGGAGTAAAAAAGAACAGCTATCCCCGGACAGAGCCCCAGATGTGCAGCTGAGATGTGACGTCACTCAAAACAATGCAAATTGCAGATTGAATAGAGCATGGTCGTGCATCTATGGAGAATTAGAGAACGTTCTATATTGGCTATGCTGCATTCTGATTGGTTGAGAAATTCGAATAGAGCACGGTCATGTTTGAATATCGTTTTGAACACAAACGCTGCTATCCAGCATACACATACACAGTGGCTGAATAAGCGGCAAATGACGATAAAAAGACATAAATCATCCCACCCCATATCATTTGCACTCAGTGTAATAAAGAAAGTTGGATGGCCATTTTGCTTTATGAGAGCTAAAAGATCTAATTTGGTAGCATTCCAATATGCTGGTGTACCACGATTACTCCTCATAAAAGAGTAACAGTGTTTTGGATAATTGGGATTTTCCAAAACATTATTTTTCAAGTCTTGAAAACAGCCAAGAGAAAATTTCAGTGCAAATGTTAATGTAAATTTTGAATACAGAAGCTGCTTAAGACCCTTATATTGAGAAAACTAACATGGGAAATTAAATTGAGCACTATGAGTAAAAAATTAAGTCCATCTTCACAGAATGGTACTATCTTAAGAACGAGACTAACCTTGTGTTTTTCGTATTTTGGCTCATTTTGGGAGTCGCGTCCTCCCCGTCTTCCGTTTTGAAATATGCGAGCAGTTTGTCAGAGTTTCAAACTGCGTGCCAAGTAGGCGCGCAGATTGACAAATTATTCGTACAACAAACAGTCACTCGAGAATCAAATCCTAATTTATTAACACATATTGTACAGAGTGGGCCAAAACGTCCATATGTTTTTATTCTGCGATAATACATTTATTTTTAAGAGAACGCCATGCTGACCTCCGAAAAGGTTTTTATCATAGATAAGAAATTGGTATGGCAATTCGAAAAATATAATAAAAAGGGTAGGTTCACCGATTACTTTTTTCATAAGAAGCTTCTGAATATAATGTAGGTATGACGTTATCCTCATTTGAATATCTGAGGCGGCATTTATTTTAGCACGCCTAAACATCGACAAGGTACAGTGACAAAGTATACCGTAGTACACTTTAGATGTACGATGTCACTATTTAACCGATTTGAAGCAAAGACAATGATGTAGGTTTGATGTAGGTTTTCAAAAAATAATCTGAGGAATGCATTAAGGATTTCATGTTTGATTTTTTATGTATTCGTTTAGGAAGACATTTAACAATCTAATAACGTTAACAGATTTTGGAACAGTGCTCGATTTTTTCCGTAGTCAATCTACCCATATAATTGGTCGGTTGGAAAATGTTGTGTTTTAACATATTTCCTTTGATCATTTCCTCCATTGTCGTCTAAAAGTGTCGAAGATTTTTATGAGAATATGTTTCTTTAAACAGCACAAGTCAGTTGAAGATTTATTAAGTATTAACATTTTGGCTATAATTTAAAAAATCATAAGTGTATGTTGTCAACTCGAATGTACGTTGTCCCATTGAACTTACTCAATTCACAGTTAACCCTAATGCAGACAACGTATTTAACAGAACAATAACAGAATTACTTCAATTCGATTGAACTATTGAAAGTTTCAAGATATATCATTAACGGGATTTTAAAAAGTCATTTTCAATAATTATAAGCTAGTTAAGATCAGTAGATCTATCTATCAATTTAACTAACAAAACGTAAGGTGCAGACGCCAAATAATCAAACAGGCTGGAAGGAGACTCTGTGGCAGTGCTAGTCTTCAACATATTCTATTCCGAGACACTGGATGGGAGTTTGGGTTCGAAGCTTACACCAAGTGGGCAAAAATTAACCACCACAACAACAATACTTTCATAAAATGAAAAAGCAAAAAGGATACTTGAACATGCGTTAAAGATCACTTGTAAGTCATAAAAACCTTAATGAATTTTGAAATGAAATCATTTCATTGTTTAATATTACGTATATTCCATTTTCAATTACAGGGACAACGTACATTCGAGTTGACAACGCACATATCTGATTTTTTTAAATTACAATAAATGCTTAAATATTTATTAATCTCTAAATTGTGTAGTATAGAAAAACATATTCTCATAAAAATAATCGACACTCTCAGGCAACAGGGGAAAAAATGATCAAAGGGATTGTGAAAAAAACAACATTTTCCAACCGATAACTTTTCGTTGGTAGAATGACTACGAAAAAAATCGAGCACTGTTCGAAAATCTTTTAACGTTATTGGAAAGTTAAATGTCTTCCTAAACGAATTCACACAAAATTAAACATGAAATCTTTCAAGTATTCCCAAGATTACTTTTTTAAAACCTACATCACACCTGCATCATTGTCTTTGCTAAAAAACGGTTAAATAGTGACATCGTACATCTAAAGTGTACTATGGTATAATTTGTCTCTGTACCTTGTCGATGGGTTAGGCGTGTTTAGAGCAAAACAAGTATTTCCAATATTTCTTTGATAAATGATGATTTAGGACGTATTGGAGATTTTTAAAGCTCAAAGATAAACTTCCTTACATTTACGTTAGTTTTGATAATGGTACACTCAAGATTTTTTCTTACTCTTTTCACTTAAAGTGTTACTTCTTGCCCATAGATATTTGTCAGATTTTATGACGTTTTTTCATTAAAAATTCGACTTTTTGCTTTTTATATTCTGACACGTTTTAAATCAAAAATTACGCAAATTTCGAATTTGAGTTTGCTTATTTTAAAAAGGGTGTTCTCGTCTTTATTTTGATATGAAGAACGGGGTTAACGGTCTGTTTGCACTTGAAAATGC